TATAATGCCATTCAGGGAAAAATAAGATGGTGAGTGGCAGGCACTTAACAAGTGATCGGGACTTGGGTCCCTGGGAACGTCCATTATTATTCTGCTCGAAATAGTGATCCTCCTTCATAGTGAAATGCTAAGTAGTTGGAAAGCAGGATTCTGTGAATGTTAGATCAGAAGCGAGTAAAACGTGATAATATGGATTTATTTGACCAATTTTTACCAGAATAGTATCAGAAGGATATTATATTTTTTTAAGCTTTGAGGAAGTAATGAAGAAACCTTCTAGTGAGTTCCCACCAGTCTACCAGCCTGACCAGCACTTCCAGAAATAGATTTGTGTCATTTTAACCTACCTTCTTACTGCCTGTCTTGAGCTTGACTTTGCAAGACAGGAGAAAGAAATTCATGATCTCTGCCATAAATATACATGGTGGCAGCAGTCAAGTAATTTTGTCTTTTTTTGTGGCAAGTCATTCATTCAGTGGTGATGGGACAACTTATTTTTAATGCAGTGTTTTTCTTTTGACTAAACCTAAATTCTTTCTTCTATCTGATTTAGTGTCTGTACCATTCCAAGGCAGCATAAATTTAGCACAGCTTCTCATGTTACCAACTTGGGTGAAGTTTTTAAAGTTTCATTCAGTTTGCCTTTAGGTTTTCATATGAGATTGACCGTGCGGACTCTTTAATTACGGTATGATATATAATTAAAGATAGACGCATTGTATCTGGCATGTGGGTTGTACTGGGAATCATGGGAAAGAGGAGGTTTGGAGAATCTTCTTTGTAAGGGAGATGTAAGCATGGACTAAATCACAAAGAATCCATGAAATGGAAGAAGCTCAGTTTCATTGCATCCAGGTAAAGGATTTAAAAAGTACCTTCAGTTTTCTAAAAGTGACACCCATAAGGATAACTCATCATTTTAAATGATTAACTAAGAGTTATTGGGCTGAGTGCTGTGCCCACACCTGTAATCCCAGCACTTGGGGAGGCTGAGGTAGGAGGATCACTTGAGGCTAAGAGTAGGAGACCAGCCTGGGGAACATAGTGAGGCACCTTTCTACAGAAAATATTTTAAAAATCACCTGGGTATGGTGGTATGTAACTATAATCACAACTACTCAGGAGACTAAGGCAGGAGGATCACTTGAGCTCAGGAATTTGAGGCTGCAGTGAGCTATGATCGTTTCATTGCACTCTAGCCTGAGCTACTGAGTGAGACCTTGTCTCTTCAAAAAAAAAAAAGTAATTGCTATAGATCACTTTCATTTATAGCAAATTGGCTCTGACTGATGGAGATTGCTGCTTCTATGGAATGTTTTTTTTTTTTTTTTTGAGTTGATGACTCACTCTGTTTCCCAGACTGGAGTACAGTGGCTTGATCATGGCTCACCATAGCCTTGACCTCCTGGACTCTGTTGATCCCCCCACCTCTGCCTTCTCAGTAGCTGGGACTACAGGTGCATCCCACTACGCCCAGCTAATTTTTTTTTTTTTTTTTGTATTTTTTGTAGAGATGAGGTCTTTCTATGTTGACTAGGATGGTCTTGAACTTCTGGGCTCAAGCGATTTCTCCCTCTGTGGCCTCCCAAAGCACTGGGATTATAGGTGTGAGCCACTTTGCGGATTTTTATGTTGTAAAATTAGTTTAAGACTTCTTTTGTTGTTAAACACGTTTAATCCTCTATGCTGTTCCATTCTTTCATGATCTTGCAAGTTTGTTTAGTTTTGCACAAGAGCTGGAATATCTGTATCTGCATTACTAAATTCAGTTGACTTCTGGGGACCCCAAGTTGTGTAGAGACATCCATTGGTCTAGCTCTGGTTGGAGAGGGCAGAAGCAGATGCAAGCAGTAGCCTGTTGTACCTGTGATCCACGCAACCAGCTTCCTGTTGATAAATATTGAGATGGTTTCCATTTTTAAACCTCAGATATTCCAGTGAACATGTCTGCACATGTATCAGAAACACTTGTTATTTTTAATAAACTTTTTGTTAAAGAATAACATATATGCAAAAAGTGTACAAAGCATGTTTGTAGCTCAGTGATAAAATCTGTGAAACTCATGCATTACGGTGTATCAGTTCATTCTTTTTTCTTCTTAATTGGTGTGTAATTTTCTGTTGGATGACTGTACCACAGCTTACCTTCTTTACTGATGGACATTTGTGCTGTCTCTGATTTTTCAATATCACAGGTGGTGCTGTGAGCATCCTTAAGTACGTGGAGCTGTGCTCACAGGCACCGGGTGTGCATATGTGCAGGCTTCGTGCTGCCAACAGACTTCCCAAGTGGTAAAACCAAATCACACTCCCACCCGCAGTGTCTGGCTATTTTTAAAAAATAGCTTCATGGAAGTGAAACTTGAATAAAAGAGTAAATTCCTTTTCCATTTTGGAATATAGTGCTAGATTTGTCCTCAGAGTACTAATTCACACTCCACTGAACACTAGGTTTTAACCAACTCTTACATCGTTTTCAGCTTATAGTGAAAAAAATCTCAGTTTTAAACTTCTTTAATGAGTTGGACTTTTTATACCTTAATTTTGTCAACTTCAGTTTTCTTTTCCTGACTTGGATGTTCTGGCTTTTTCTTTGTTGAATTGTTTGTTTTTTTCTCCTTGCTCTGTAATAACTCCTTATTTTAAACATCCACGTTGTTTTCTTCCTAGTTCAGTCTTTATTTTTACAGCATAGAAGTTTTAAATGTGTGTTTGTGCTTTACAGCTGCTTGTCTTTTCCTTTGTGGTTTCTGGCCGTGGTGTCTTTTTTTTTTTTTAAGTCGGAGTCTTACTGTTGCCCAAGTTGGAGTACAGTGGCATACTCATGGCTACCACAGCCTCTACCTGCCGGGCTCAGGCAATCCTTCTACCTCAGCCTTCCAAGTAGCTGGAACTACATGTGTGCCACCACGCCTGGCTAATTTTTTTTATTTGTTGTAGAGACGAGATCTCACCAAGTTGTCCAGGCTGGTCTCAAAGCTTGGGCTTCAGGCAGTCCTCTCACCTCAGCCTCCCAAAGTTTTGGGATGACAGGCGTGAGCTGTCACACCCAACTGGTGTCATTCTTATGAGAGCCTTTCCTACCCCCCAAGATTTAAAAAAATTTTTTCTTTGTAGTCTTTATTGTTTGTCTTTAATTTTGTTCATTGTCATCGGGTTTGACCTTTTTTTTCTGCCACAAAGGTGCATTTTTTAAAGTTTTAAAACCTTTTAGCTGTGTTGTACTTGTATTTATAACGTTAATTAACATTAACTTCGGAGCATTTTGTGTATGTCAGACGGTGGCTGGTGAGTCAGGAAGACTCTAGCACACCGGAAGAGGCATGCCTGTGTTGTCTGACCAGGCTGAGAAAGGAAGTCAGTGTCCTACTTGGATACTGTTTGAGTCCTTTTAGTTGCTTGTTCCTAAAGTAGTTCTTTTTCATTTAGAAAAGAATGAGATCCAATTAGCCTATGCTGAATTTTCTTATTTAAATATCTCTTGGGGACTTTACTCAAGGCTCTTGAGCAAGGACTTTGCCAGAAACACAACTGGCTTCTCGCAGCCCATTCTGTGCCTGCAGTACCCAGGTGCGGAGTACCAGATACATAACACTAGACATCTGAACAACCGTGTAGTCTGTATTTAAAGAGGCCATTGAAAAAGTTCTTGTGTTTCTCTTTTGTATAATAGTCCATGGAGTTAAAATATAATTTTCACTGTAGATTGAGAAAGATGAAACCAGCCCATCCTGTTTTTTTAAAAAATGTTACAGTGAATTTGAGAGCTTTCTTTACCACCTAAGATTCCTACCAATATAGTCATTATTAGGTTAGACCACAAAGCAGAGACATAGAACAGATTTTAGACCAGTAGCCCTCTCTTCTAATATATGTTAATCTGGTTTCTGTAAATGAATGTTAACTCCTTAAAGGAGCTAGGGTCTCAGGGGCAGGTGAGTTATTGAAGAAGAGAACACAGTGGTGTTCCCCTGTTTGACCAGAGCTCACTGGAATCTGGAGGCAAGTCTAAAGAAGATGGAATTTGAGAGGGAGAGAAAGAGCAGGTGAAAACAAATACCATAGATGAGGTTTTTAATTTTTGCTTTGCTCTTTTTGCATTTGGCATTCTACTTGTAGCAAGATCATATCATTAACTATGTTGATTATTCCATAAGCCAAGGAGAACATTGTGGGGACTTCCCTTAGTAAAGCTATGATTTTAGTGGCACTATGTTTCCAGTTTAGGAGAATTTGTACTTTGCTGAGTATTTGAATTTGACTAAAGGAAATACTGGATTTATGTTAAAGGTTCATTAGGAGTAGATTGAGGAGGAGAGGTACAGAGGAGAGAGAAACTAAAATTAAGTGCCTACATTTCTTTTACACAGGTAGAATGCAGTCTTTTTTTTTTTTTTTTTTTTTTGAGTCTGAGTCTCACTCTGTCGCCCCGACTAGAGTGCAGTGACCACTCCCGGCCACCAGCAGCCTCGACCTGCTGGGCTCCGGCGATCCTTCCACCTCAGCCTTCCAAGTAGCTGGAACTACAGGCACGTGCTACCACACCCTGCTAATTTTTTGATTTATTGTAGAGGTGAGGTCTCACCAAGTTGCCCAGGCAAGTCTCGAACCCGCGGGCTCAGGCAATCCACTCACCTCAGCCTCCCAAGGCACGGGATTACAGGCTGAGCCACCGAGCCTGGCTAGAATGCAGTCTTACATGTGTAACCCGTGTTATCCTCACAGAAATCCTGTGAAGTGAATTGACATGATTGTGTCTAGGCTCACAAACCCAGTAGGTGATGGTCCTGGGATTTGCACACCAGTGTCTCTGAATCCAAAACTCATGCATAATCTTTTCACAAGAGAAACATTGCCTCCCAAACTACCAGAATCATGTGTATTTTATCAGTATCATACCAAAGTTTGGTAACACTTCCAATGGCACATCTTGGGGATGTTATCAGTAGTTCTTCCAGGTCCCACGAAGCATGTGTAATTTCCTTTACCGTCCACCTTAGCATTGAAAGCAAGCATGAAGTTACCATCCTGGGAGGACTTAATGAATTTGTAGTCAAGTTTTATGGACCACAAGGAAGTAAGTACATGTGTTGGTATGTGTTCTTCTGTTCTAGTCTTTTCCTCTGTTTCTTACTAGACAGTGAGAGTGTCAAAGACAGATGGTGAATGCATCGTTTTTGAAAAGCAAGTTTAATTGGACTTGAGAACCAGAGAGGAAGTCTCTCTCTTACCATAATTACTTTACATACAGTTGTCCCTTGGGTCTGCGGAGAACTGGGTCCAGGCCCCTCCCATACCAAAAGCCAGGGACGCTCAAGTCCCTGATCTAAACTGGTGTAGCATTTGCACATCACCCACACACATCCTCCTGTATGCTGTAAGTCACTCCAGGTTGCTTATAATACCTCAGACAGTGGAAATGCTATGTAAACATTTGTGGATTTTTAAATTGTTGGATTACTATTTTTTATTGTTTGCATTTTTTCCCCTGAATATGTTCAATTTGTCCTTGGCTGGATCCAAGGATATGGAACCTGTGGATACAGAAGGCCAACTAGAATTTTCTCTCTCTTTCTACGTGGTAGTATTAGACATGAGCTGCAAATTCTGGGTTTTGTTATGAATGACCATGTGGATGGTTTCTGGGAAATGTTTTTTGTTGTTTTGGGGAGGGATGTGGACTGATTGAGTTAGGAGGGAAAGGAGCCTGGCTGTTACTTAGGAAATAACTGAATAGTGTTCAGTACCTTAAAGAATCAAGTAAATTGCGGGAGACAGCAGATCTTTGTTTAGTGCTGACTTTGGATCTTAATCTGAACGCACTGGTTAAATAGGGTTTCAGATGCTATTTTTTTTTTTTTTTAAACATTTCATCAGCATTTTAATATGGTTTCAATAGCCCTATTAGGTAATATTATTATTTTTTTTTTTTTTTCATTAATCAGTATTTTTTATTATGGTTTTGTGGGGTACAGTTAAGGGTTAGGTGTACAATGACGTTTCATTCAGGCACCCTCAGATGCTATTAGGGTTTAATGTTTAATTTATACTCAGCTTTATTTTCTAATTTGGGGACAATGCGGCTTTAATGGTTAATATGTTTACTTTTATTTCAGCACCATATGAAGGCGGAGTATGGAAAGTGAGAGTGGATCTTCCTGATAAATACCCTTTCAAGTCTCCATCTATAGGTATGTGACTACTCTGTTTCTCTCCTTAGAGAGTTTTGAAGTCCCAGGGAAGAAAATTCCAACATTTTGTGGGAGATAAATAAGGAATGGCTACTTGATTGACTTTTTCCTGTTTTGGCTTTGGCTAGTTTAATCAGTGACTTTGGGGGAATTTCCATGGTGTGATAGACATTTAAATATGCCCCTTGCATTTTCATAATGACCATCACTGGAGATTTTTCTCTTTCAGTGTCAGATTACACCAACTATAAGGCCCACTGTCCGTTAGGCTGTTAGCAGGATATCTTAAATCTCACCTTGAACACCAGATTGCTAAAATGAATGTTATATAGAATCTGTTCTAATTCTGACATTTAAATATCCTCCCTAGATTCTACTGTGCTTCTCTTTACTCTGCCTCTGGGCACCTCACAATTAAGTGGTCCTTTCTATTCCCTTCCCCCCCCCCCAGTCTTTGTAGTCCTCTGAACAGCAAAAGAAAGAACAGAAAACTCAGAGGCGTTGTTTAAAGTGTGCTTTTTCCTCACCTTCATCATCTTTCTGCCTTAACTGGTAACAGCACTCAGTGACAACTTTGGGTATTAAAGGTTGACACCTTTAAATATGTTGAGGTTATAAAATGGTGTGTTTTAGTTTACTTAAACCAACGTTTTTTCACTTCAATCTGTACATGACTTATGAGCATTTCCAGACGATCAGACTGAGCCTCATGTTCAGAATTGCCCGAGTTCAATAATCTTGCTACTGCTGTGGTCTGTCTTCAAAACCGATGCCAGATCTTCTAGAACTTAGACCACTCCCTGGCACACCCCACTCCCAGCAAAAACTGGTTTCTAGAAGAGGTGGACCAAAACATTCTGAGCTCTATGCTTTGATACTAGGCCCCCATTTCTATACTGTGAGTCCCTGCATGCAGACCTTCAAGTTAAGAACCTTAACAGTGCACGCCTACATTTTTTATGTATTCTTTCTCTCCACCAGGTGTCAATATAGCCTGTTCTATATAGCCCTTTGTGTTAGTTGGTACCCAGGCTAACTTGGTTGGATTTAAAACAAATCAGATTTGCACACACACTCTCAAAATGGAACTCGTTCTTTTGTTGGTGACTTCCTGTATAGGGCAAATTGTGCAGAGAAGTAAAGATGGTCACAGACAAAGTCCCAGTCGGAAGCAGCGGCCTCTCCCCAACGCACCATAGACATGCTACAGGGCAGCTGCAGTTCCCTCTTAGCTGGGGAGCTCTGAGTGCTCAGTTGAAGACTAGCCTGGCAGTTCCTTTGAGGTCCTTCAGCGAGTTTTCTAAACTCCATCACAGAGAGGGTATTTTGCAGATAACTGAGTCAGAAGTTTTATCCTTTTTCCAGGGGTCTCGAGTTTTAGTGCTGTGGGCAGTGACGTGGCACTGAACTGAGCAGCGTCGAGTCTGAGCCGAGCCCCGGGCATGTTGACGTGACATCTGTGCAACTGGGCAGCTGCCCTTGCCTGACTCCGTGTCGTGGCAGCAGAACATCAGGGGGGTAGCCTCCCCCATCAGAGAGGGCCTTCCTGTCATGTGGTTCACATCCCTGGTGCTCATCTCTACACCTTAGGGTGTTCACCTCTCTTCAGCCAGTCATGCTTTCATGGAGTGGAATGGTAGGATCTTAAAGCCTTTGCAGAAGGCCACACCATATCAGTTAATTCCAATATACTTCATAAACGTCTGTTTGCCTGAAGGCTTAAAATCGGCGTGCAAAACCTCGTTTTGTTACCCCACAATCTTAGAAAGGAAGCAACAGAGCTTGTTGAAACAAACAGTGAAGTGGCCGGGTGCGGTGGCTCATGCCTGTAGTCCCAGAACTTTGGGAGAGGATGGCCTGAGCCCAGGGCTTGAGACCAGCCTGGGCAACATGGCAAGACCTCACCTCTACATTAAAAAGGAAAAAAAATTAGCCAAGTGTGGAGGCACGCACCTGTAGTTCCAGCTATTTGGAAGGCTGAGGCAGAAGGATTGCTTGAGACCAGGAGGTCAAGACTGCTGTGAGCCATGATTGTGCCACTGTACTCTAGCCTGGGCAACAGAGTAAGACTGATTCAAAAAAAGAAAAAAGAAATGTAGTTACATATCCTGTAGAAATGCAGTTATTTTTCAAACCTTGTCTTAAAATTTTTTTTCCAGGCAATATGGGCATTTCATCATAATTTTCTAAATAATAATAGCTAAACCTTAAATGTTGCTTAGTTTTTACTAATGACACAACAAGGCCTATGTACTTTCTTACATTAATGATGCAGTATTAAATTTGTTAGGACAAATGACAAGGCTAATTTAACTTCTTCATAATTTTTTCTCTGCCTTTGTATGTACTTTCAGAACTTGGCAGTGCCAACAAATGTGTATCATCTTCTCTTAGGGAAGTAGGTTTAGTTGAAATATTTGTACAAGCTGTCCTTGTTTCCGCCAAAGGAAGATTGCATAAGAGAGTTTTAGTCAGTTGCACGGGGTGACCCATTTTTCAGGTCACCAACAGTGTGATTACTGTTGAGATGTGCTTTAAGCATTTTGAGAGGTCGTGGCTCACTTCAAAAAGGCAGGGTTTGCTTTTTTGAATTGTATAGACAATGGTAAAATTATACAGAAGGATGAGGAGACAAAAGAAACACAACCTCAACTTCCCTTGAAGACTTTATCCTTGTGGTGTCTGGGTAGGTTCTGTTCTTTCAGAGACAGTTGCTGAGCCTTTAAATATTTAGCTGTGTACATTTAGAATAAGCATCTTTAATGCTTAGGTCTTAGAATTTTAAAATATATATGTCTGTGTACTTTGCCCAGTAAATGGTCCATATTTATTGGAGAAATAGGAAAGTTCAGGTGAGCACAAATAAAGAAAAGTTAACATGCTCATAAGGGATTCCCTTAATGGGTATTTAAACTATTTCTCTATGCATCTGGGTATAGTGGCTCACACCTTTAATCCCAGCACTTTGGGAGGCTGAGGCAGGAGGATTGCTTGAGCCCAAGAGTTTGAGACTAGCCTGGATAGCAAAGCGTGACCTCACCTCTACAAAAAAATTAAAAATTAGCAGGGCATGGTGGCACTTGCCTGTAGTCCAAGCTATTGGGAGGCTGAAGTGGAAGGATTACCTAAGCCCAGGAGGTTGAGGCAGCGGTGAGCCATGATTGTACCACTGCACTCCAATCCGGGTGACAGAGTGAGACCTTGACTCAAAAATAAATAAACTATTTCTTTATGCATATTTAAAGACATATTTGGTATAACTTGACACACTCACACCTTTGGGACCCTCTCCAAATACAGTTTTTAGAGAGTTTTCAGTAGCTGCATGATTGCATGAGATGTCTTTTACAAAACAATCTACATCTATTAGTGAGTGGGTATTTTTTTCTAAATGGTAATATAGCTACCCTGACCTCTTTGGAAAGAAAAGGACTCTAAGTGGACTCATCAGGAGGGTGTGAGTTCACTCTTCCAAGGCCATTGTTGCTTTAAACCTTGAGCTCATCCTTTGGAATTCCATATTCCTTCAAATATCATAAGCGATGGCACACCTTGATGCTTTGAAGCGGGGTATGAAATTTTGAGATGGCTAAAGGTCATTTAAGCCCAGAGAATAATGAGATGAATGGAAAAAGCAAGTAATATCAATTAGAGGATAAAACTGGTCCTCTGGGCACTCTGAAAGAGTAATTATAAAACTCCTTTAATCAACCGCAACATCCTTGAAATATTTGCATAGTTTTCCAGAGAGACTGCTTTGAAATGAATCGTATTTGAACCTTTAAGTTTTGATTTATTTGAAAGGTCAGACTGACTTTTATCTTTTGTATTCAGAAACGTTGGTTCCTCGAGAGCCCACAATTCTGCGGGTGTTGCTGGGTGTGATGAGGAATGTGTGGTTGTTAGGGATCAGGTATGCTGACCGTGGTCTCTCTGAGCCTGGCACTCATCTGCCCTGCTTTCTTCTTTTCTAGGCTATGAGATGCTGGAATGAATGGAGTTCTGCATGTGTGTTACTGACCAGTGCATTAAGCTCAGGGCATGGACACCAGGAGGGCTGTGGGTGGGCTTTGGTAGGAAAGAAGGGTGAGCAGAAATAAAACACTGTCTGCCCCTTCGAAGCCTGGTCCCTTTTTTTAAGGGGAGGTGTGAGTCGGTGCCTCCATTTAGAAGAGAGATTGTAAGGAAGAAAATGTTGTGTTCTGTTTGTTGAAAATCCAGTCTTCATGGAGCACTGGAGATACAGAGGTGTGCGTAAGGACTGTGAAATACTCATTCCAGACCCTGGGTCCTCCCAGTTTGTGGAGATTTTGTTTCATGCAGAGAAGTTGGTACAGAGACTGCCTCAGCTACACTTCTTCAGGTTCATGGATTTCAGCCCTGACATGTGTGCTCAGCTAGTAAGAGAAAGCTTTTACCAGGTGAAAAGAACACAGACTGTGCTGTTACTTGGAGGTGAAATAAAGATGAAAGTTCTCATAAAAAAAGAGGGTTATATAGAGCAATTTTCATAAAAATAAAAAGTACTCTGTAAACAGAGGTTAAAAAATGGTTTTATGTCTAGCCCAAAGTAATGCAGATTAGAACAATAATACAGTATATGATTTATCAGATTGGCAGATTAAACAGTGTTGGTAAAGGTATTATGATATACTCAGTCTGTCAGTATATATTGATTGATAAAGATTTTATATCCTTTGACTAATTTTACTTAAGTTAATAATTGCCTAGAGAAATATTCAGAAACGTACACTCAGACTAATATAGAAGAATATGTAAATTTCAGTGTTATTTATAATACTTAAAAGTCATGGCCAGGTGTAGTGTCTCACATCTGTAATCCCAGCACTTTGGAAGGCCAAGGCAAAAGGCTCACTTGAGGCCAGGAGTTTGATACCAGCCTGGGTAACATAGCAAGACCTTGTCTCTACCAAAAAAAAAATTGGTTGTGGCAGTGTGTGCCTATAGCCCTGGCTAGGCAGGAGGATTGCTTGAGCCCA